TCAAACAGCAAGCCATATATTTGCCATGGCGTGGATCACACTTGGCCATCATAGACGATGGCTCAAATGCAGTGTTTGTGATCTCAGAAACTGACAGCTGTTCATGGTAGGCTTTTTCTGCCGAAATGACAGGAGCATACGATGACAGCATAAAGTGAATCCTAGGATATGGTACCAAGTTAGTCTGAAATTCAGTTACATCCACGTTCAGAGCACCATCAAACCTCAGAGAGGCAGTCAGAGACGAAATCACCTGAAAAACATTATAACATAATTTAATGCACGGTTTTACGTGATAACATACAGCCAAAAAATGGGTTTCAAAATTATTTATAGCATACTTGAGAAACAAGACGATTTTTTCAAAATTATTTATAGCATACTTGAGAAACAAGACGATTAAGGTTGGTGTAGGTTGGTCGCTCAATGTCAAGCGCACGTCTGCATATATCGTATATGGCTTCGTTGTCAAGAAGAACAGCAACATCAGTATGCTCCAGGAGGGAATGAGTGGAGAGGACACTGTTGTAGGGCTCAACAACAGAGGTTGAAACTTGTGGTGAAGGATAGACAGTAAAACCGAGTTTGGATTTCTTGCCATAGTCCACTGAAAGACGCTCAAGAAGCAGGGAACCGAGACCTGAACCAGTGCCTCCACCCACAGCATTGAAAACCAGAAACCCTTGGAGACCAGTGCAGTTGTCTGCGAGTTTTCTGATGCGATCCAAGCAAAGATCAACTATCTCTTTCCCAACTGAATCAAAAGACCATTACAAGAGTTAGCATTTCATTTGAGAGTGAAAAGGAGAAGATCTGTGGAATGGGAAAGACTAATTACTGGTATAATGGCCGCGAGCAAAGTTGTTTGCTGCATCCTCTTTGCCACTGATGAGTTGCTCCGGATGGAATAGCTGGCGGTATGTTCCAGTCCTGACTCATCAATGACATGCAGTTGGCTCAAGATCTACAAAAACTGCACGGGGCACATGCTTTCCGGCTCCAGTTTCACTGAAGAAGGTGTTGAAAGCATCATCGCCTCCACCGACAGTCTTATCACTTGGCATCATTCCATCAGCCTGAAAAATGGAAGAATGCCTTAGACTGGCCGAAGAGAAGATAGAAAATGAACAAAGCAGGTATCCACGCCATGCCAGAATAGATCTATTATGGAATTCAAAATTCAAAACTGACAGTTGGCTCAAGATCTACAAAAACTGCACGGGGTACATGCTTTCCGGCTCCAGTTTCACTGAAGAAGGTGTTGAAAGCATCATCGCCTCCACCGACAGTCTTATCACTTGGCATCATTCCATCAGCCTGAAAAATGGAAGAATGCCTTAGACTGGCCGAAGATGAGAAAATGAACAAAGCAGGTATCCACGCAATGCCAGAATAGATCTATTATGGAATTCAAAATTCAAAACTGACACTGAAGTTAAAACTAATTTATCAAATTGTTATAATCTCTCGAATGCTTAGTGCACATTATACCTCCAGAAATTCGAAATGTGTTATCTGAAAAATGAACTTATTAAGCTTTAATTAAACAGAAAATTTGCAGGATTATCGCAAATTGATGGAAAAAATGAGTTTCGTCGAGATATTTACGACAAATATTTTTCTGCAAACATCAATAGATCTATAATAATTTCAAATATCTCAAAATTTTCTTAAAAGTCAAGTAGGAATATAAATGAACGCAACTGTGATGTCAGGGATCTGAGATCACATCGCATTAAGAACACCCTACATAACTGGAATAGAAGACAATGATGATCCGTGCAATATGATGTGAATAGAAAACAAATACAAATACACCATTCAAAAAATCAGAGATACATTTGACAGTAATCATCAAGATCCTGGTAACGCCACATTATCAAAAGCACATATAGCGAACGGATCGATCGAACAGCCAGTGTCAGAAATGGTTCGAAAAGAGGAACAGAAAAGGCAATCAGACTAATACTGGAAAACAGTAGATTGAAAAAAAAACGCATCAGAGCACTAGATCTTCACAGATCAAGACGGTATTACCTGAATGCCATGCTCGAGGCAATAAAGCTCCCAGCAAGCATTTCCGACCTGAATGCCGGCCTGACCAATGTGAATGGAGATGCACTCTCTCATTTTCGAGGATTCAGAGAAACTGGTGAGACAAAAGCACAAAACGTAGAAAGAGACACAGAGAAGGGTTCTTTCTGAGGCGGAGCTTAGCGTCAGGGTGGTTCGCTTTTAATAATGGGCACCACCGCACCGGAGGGAGAAGATGAGAAAGGTAAAATGAAATATTAAGGGTGATTTATCATTTTTTTTATTTTGGTGACCAGGGGTGATTGATCTTTAACCGTTGATTATTTTGTTGTGCCCGCCATAGCAAAGGCTCCCCATGGAACCGACGGCAATCGCTTAGTCCAACGCAGTACTCCATAAATCGGCCGACCAAATTAGGCGGGCGATTTGAAATATTTGGTGTCTTGGATTTTTTCCTGGGCCCACTGTGTATTTCATTTGATTATAAATATATAGTTGTAATAAAAATAATTCATTTTTCACCCTGTAAATTGTAATAAAATTCAACCTTGGTAATGGATCACGTAATAAGATCGGAAGCATTTAGTAATTATTATAAACCTCTTGTTGGCAAAAAAAAAAAATTAGGCTCAAATGATAATTTTCTACCTCAACATTTAAAATGTCATGTTGACATTTTTATTATTATTTATATTAGATAATTGGAAAAAACACTGTATAAAAAATAAATTACTAAAACAAAATGTTATGTGAATTTAAGCTAACATATATCTAGTCAAACATTTCACTGGGTCTATAGCAAATATTTTTTTCAATTTATGCGGACTGTAGGGTACGAAGGGATTAGCAAAAAAATTGTTATATGAAATTAAAAATTTAGATATTCATGATTAAAATTTAAAATTTATAGAAATAATTACAAAGGCCTAACGTAAATTGAGATGAATTAAGTTAAGATGAGCTGTTCGGTTATTAGAAGGGAGAAAAATAGAACACTAATCGTATTTTTCTAACTCAGTTCCCCGTCTATTTTCAGACGCAGAAGAATTTTCAAATTCAAAATTTTTTTAATTAAGAAAATAACCAAACCGCATTTCTTGATTATCGTTTCAAGTTTGTTCCTTCCTCTGAGTTATTTCATTTGAAACGTCATAACCGTTAGCTTCATTTATTTTTAGTGTTCTTTAATCCATATCTATGCTGCCCGAATGGATCGAAATTGTAAACTTGTTAAAATAACCATAAAAAGAAATAGAAATATCATAAATTTACAGTTTTAAAAAAATAAAGTCAATAATATAATTTTTTTTCGCAAAATAACGTAAAAAGGAATTAGAAATTGCAATATTCTAATTCAGGCACATGAGAACTCAAAATCCCAAAGAAGAAAATGGCGTCTGATTTAGTGTTTTACATATGTAGTCAAATGACTAAAATATCTTTATATCATATTCTTAAAAATAAAACTATCAAACATGTTATTGCCAGTATATTTTTTATTATTGATTATTTAACATTTGTCATTACCAATTTACAACTTATTAATAAATAACTTGTCATTATCGGTATATCTCGTCATTTGCTATTTAACTTGTCATTATCAGTTCACAACTTATTAATAAACTTTTTGCTATAGGGACATTTTTGTTATTTAACTATATTTGCAAAATACTATATCAAATATCACTTCATTTCCTGAGATTTTGACCTTTTAGGTGTCTAAATTGAAATATTATAATTTTCAATCTCTTTTTATGTCATTTGTTTTTTTTTTATTCCGGTGAAAATAATATAATTTTTAAACCATTTTTAGTATTTCGATAGTCCTTTTAGTAAATTAATCTCTACTAAACTTATGTTTGAGAAGAAAAGCCAATTTTTAAAGGCTTAAAAGTTAATTCACCAAATCTAAAAGTTTGTGTGCTGGGTGGATCTCCTTAACAAAGTAACAAACTCAAAGTCAAAGAAGAGACCCGGTTCCAGACGCCGGTGAAGCTAAATAACAAGAGCCGGTAGTAATTTCACGAGTTTCCTTGGAGCTTTTGACATTTCAGGAGTACCTCCACCAAACCTCTTCATAATTAAAAAAAGGTGACGTGTCACTTCACTGTTTAAGGTAAGAATAAGATATTTTTAGGAAATGGAAGCAAAAATATATATGAAATTTGAAAATTCTGTTTATAATATTAAAAGACCGAAATGCTTTTACTTTTTTTGGGGAAAAAAAAAAACCATCAGATGTTCCCCTCCGAAGCAGTCACCGACAGTTCTAGCAAGTTCAGCCTCACTGGCGACAACACCAACAGCCATGGCAATGGGAAGGATAAAGGAGTCGAAGGAGCCGGGTAATGTTGCTACAAAAAGAATTTTCCATAAAAAATCACATTTTTCATAGCTCGAGCAAAAAAAAGTCCTGAATTTTGATGGAAATTGATTTCTCAGAAGCCCAATTTTCATTTCCATTTTCATTTCTCAGTACAATTTTTCGGTGAACCAAACGGGGCTTTAGGTTTTAACCTGATAAAGTGAAAAGCAGAAGACACAACTCCAAATTTACCGCGATCATCATAAACCCCACAATTGCAGCTTTCTCTAGCAGCAGAATTGGTTCTAAGTCAACCATTCCTAAACAGAAGAAAAAAAAAGGTAATTGAACAAGGGCAAATCCAATTTCATTTTACAGGGAACGTACTCATTTTTACTATAGTCAAATGAATGAAGTTTTTTCATCTTGTTCTTCATTCTTGTCCCTGCGCCTGCTTCAACAGCATAAATTGAGTTGCTATACAACATGGACTAAATCGAACAAATAACTGGACACAACTAATGTATTTCTCTCCCCCTCCCCGTTCATTTTCCTCTCTCTCCCCCGCTCTCTATATCCAAATATACTATTATTCCCTTGGCCAGTTCTCCAAATATATTATTTACAATAACTTTTGTGATGATAGAATCACGGAAAAATGTAAATTCATGAACAGCTTCATCTAGGAAACTGCTCTCCAAATCTTAAACATTTACAAGTTATAACTGCTCAATTACAGCTAATAATATTAAACCTGGTCCTATACATCAGGATATGATTTTGCACCTCATAAATATGATTGACAGAACCAACTATCCAGCCAGCGATCTGTGCTTACAAACACTAGTCATGCTTCCTAGCCTAGGGGCCTCTTCCTCCTTGTTTCACCAGTTCACAAAAAACAGATCAGAAGGGGAAAACAAAAGAAAGAAAGAAAACAAAGGGAGTCACGGAATGCCAAAGGGAGTCACGGAATGCCCAAAGGCATCAATGGTCATCATGACTTGGGACGAGTCTTTAGTCCCCACAGCAAGTCAACCACCCTTCTCATTGAGGGTCTATTAACCGGGATCCTTGAGGTGCAAAGCAGAGCCACATTCAAAACCTTCCTAATCTCTTCATAATCATACGTGGAGGGGTTCAATCTAGGGTCTACAATCTGAACCAGGCCACGGCGATAACCTTCCACATTGTCACTCCCTCCTGCAGAGCTTGATAAAGCAGTCTCAGTGAGCCACTTCACTATATCCTTGTTCTCACCAAAAGATGGATCATTTGGCCTCTTGCCTGTGACCAATTCCATCAGTAGCACACCATAGCTATACACATCACTTTTCTCAGTTACTTTGCGTGTGTAAGCATATTCTGCATAATGCATAGTACCCATCAAAATTATCATACAGCCATAGTTTAAAAAAACAAAAGGTTAGAAGAATAAACAAGCAAATAAACAAACCAGGAGCAATGTAACCATAGGACCCAGCGACCCTGGATGTAGCCCCGCCACCATCTTCGTTTGCCTTTGGCTGCCAGGTCCTAGCCAACCCAAAGTCTGCAACACGAGGTCTGAAATCATGATCCAGCAATATGTTGCTACTCTTGACGTCTCTGTGAACTATAGGCGGCACACAGTCGTGGTGTAAATAAGCCAGTCCCCGAGCGACACCTACTGCTATGGTGAACCGCCTCGACCAATGCATCAACTCCCTGCACTTTTCACCGTGCAAAACGTCACTCAAGCTGCCATTCTCCAAATACTCGTACACCAGAATCTGGAAATCGTCAGCACTGCAACTATATAACAATTTTACTATATCAACGTGCCGAGTTCTACTAAGTGTCTCAATCTCCGTTTTGAAAACCGAATCTGTATTCAGTTTTCCTGAACGCCCTTCCCAAAACTTCTTCACAGCAACTGTCTCTCCTGTCTTGAGCTTCACCCGATAGACCTGGCCCGAGCTCCCTGTGCCAATGAGATTCTCACTGGTTAGGAATGGAACAACATCTTCTTCCTTAAAGCCCACCATATGGAATGTTGTCGTCTTGACAAAGTGCTTGGGTTGGCCAGTTAAAAATAATGACTTCTTCCTCTTAAGGAACAAGAGGAGAAGCCCCAGAAGGAGTACAACGAAGGTAGATAACACAATAATAGCTATCGAAGAGAAGCGTTTCGATTCGGAACAAGGAGGAAGGAATTTCATGACTTCGCTGCAGAGGTTCGGATTACCAACCAGACCCGACCAATAGAATTCACTGTTGAACCCTGAAGGTACATTTCCAGACAACTTGTTTCCCGACACGTTGAACTGGCTGAGCTTGAGCTTTGCTAACTCTGGCGGAATCCCCCCAGTCAGGAAATTCATAGCCAGATCAAGCGAACTCAAATCTGGCAAATTACCAAGCTCTGGCGGAATTGTACCTGTGAATCGGTTACACGACAAGTTCAATAGGGTCAAGTCACTCCAGGAATCTACATTACGAGGAATCGCGCCAGTGAACATGTTCCCCTGCATGCTCAGCTTCTGTAACTTCTTTAATCCAGTTATACATGACGGAACTTCACCGGTGAACTGGTTCCGGCTCATGTCAATCTCTATAATGTTGTGGAGTTCACAAATTTCTGCCGACAAATGTCCAGAAAACCTGTTATCAGATATATGAAGTGCAGAGAGCCTCTGAGCGCCGGAGATGGAGAATGAACCTTCCAACAAGTTGTCATTCATCTTTAAAAATTCGAGGCCAGGAAGTTTCCAAAATTTTAGAGGCACCTCACCAGAAAGCTGGTTGTGCTCGATTCTGACGTAGTCGAGTGAATGACAGTCACCATACTGCTCAGGGAGATTTCCGGAAAAGCGATTCCTGAATGTGATAAGACGCTGCAACTTGTTCCTTTGACAGACGTACTTAGGCAATTCGCCAACAAAGTCATTGGTAGAAACATCAAGCTCCCGTAAATCAGAGTTTCGACCGAGATCTTCAGGTAGCTTCCCAGTAAAGCTGTTATTAAAGAGAATTAGTCTCAGTAGATTTGGATTTGTAGCTACATTCACGGGGATTTCTCCTTCGAGGAAATTGTCGTTCAATGAAAGCGATTGGAGACGCAAGGCAGCGAGTGAATCAGGCAATTTCCCTGTGAGACTATTTTGAGAGAGGTCTAAACTAATTAAAGTGCTAAGGTTTCCCAGACCTTGAGGAATTTCACCTGAAAGTTGGTTTAGAAATAGCACAATTTGTTCTACACTTGCCAAACCCGAAATGCTGTCTGGAATTTTACCTGACAATAAATTTTTCGACATATCCAAGTTCTTGAGCGAGAGCAGCTTCCCTATCGAGTCCGGTATACTCCCTTCGACATTTGAATTCGCAAGGAACATAACTTCGAGTTTGGATAAATTTCCAAGCTGGGAGGGTAAAGGTCCTGGTCGGAACGGATTATAAGCGAGTTCCAATCTAGTTAACTCACTGAGATTCCCTAAGAACGCGGGAATGGTTCCGCTGAGCAAGTTCCCCGACAAACTCAGCACTCTAAGATGTGGAAACCGGCCAAAATTTGCCGGAATATCGCCAGTGAAGTTGTTACGCGAGAAATCAAGCCGTCTCAGTTCAGAGAACTCCGACAAGAATTGCGGCAACTCGCCGACAAATAAGTTATCAGAGAGGTTCAAGACACGAAGGTGGGCACAGAGAAGGAGTGATTGAGTAGAGACAACACCACCGAGATAATTTTGCGCAGCAGAAAGCCTTCGCAGGGTCCGAATCCGACAAAAACCGAACGGAAATCCACCATAAATGCCGGTGCCAGAGAGGTCAATGGCAACAACTGAGCGATTAAGCTCATCACAGGTAATGCCAATCCAGTTGCAGTGATTAAGGCCTCTATCCCAATTTTTGAGGCTACCATTCTCATCAATGATCTGAGTAGTCTTAACCCGCAGAAGAATCTCAGAATCACCCATTAAAGAAGCCTGCAAAGAGAAATGAAACAAGCACAGCAGAGAATATAGTAAGAAGGGAAAATGTCTGAGAGCGAGAAGTTCCATATCTGGGTGCGGTAAGTGAGAAGACTGAGATCAGGTGCGTGCGGGGAGAGTGAAAAGAGGAAAGCCCAGAGAGAACAGAGAAGCGTTGATCATGCATGGGATGGCGAAGCGTTCGAGGGTAAAGGTGTGAGAGAGCAAGTCAAAGGTTCACGATTTTTGGGGGGTGTGACAGGGGGAAAGAGAGAGAGAAGGTGAATTTGCAGGGATTTGTGAGAAGACGGAAGGAGAAGGGGGCAATTCAATTGAATGAATGGTGATGTAATTGCAGGGAGGGGAGCGAGGGAAACGTGATAGGCTGGTGAAGAGGCAAAATGTACAAATGAAACGTGTCTATGAATTCGAATTTTTTTAAAAAAGAAATGGGAGATGACGCAATCACCGTTTTAAAAAGTAATTTTACAAAATTTAAAATAAATATATAAGAAAAATTTTGTTTTAATTTACGTAAAAATATTTTTTGAACTTCCAAATACTCCAAACCATGTTTGAGATTTTTTCCTTAAAGTATAGATCTTTTTATTAAAAATAATCATATTTAAAATATTATCAGACACTAAATATAATCATCTCTTTTAATAAGAATTTGAATATTAATTTGATAAGTTATGAGAAACTAATTTTTTTTATTAAACCTAATTCACGTTGTTTGCGACTTTGCGTTGTACGACTGTTGTTGGAACGTATCACTTTCTGCAAAGATTTGTTGGGCTATTTGTCGTATCCGGGTGAGTGAGTCCAATTAATAGCCTGCATACGGCTCTTAGGATTAAGAAATTCTACCTCCGGTATTATTTATAAGATTTTGTTTATAATCTATAAATAAAATTTTATAAATACCGTCAAAAGTGGTATTGCATTTAAAATTTCAGACTTGGTTAAGATATTATAAAAATTTTACCCCTTTCGTCCCTAAATATAAAAATTTAGTTAACTAATTAATGAAAATTACAAAAATTATTTAAATTGACTATTTTTCTTTATTACATACTCCCTCCCGTTTATAATATAGAAGTCTTCTGTAAAACAATTTTGGTCCAAAAATATAAGTTGACATAGACCATTTATTAGAAGGAGGAAAGAAAATTTTAAATACAGAAAAGATTAAAAAAAATTAATCACATTATTTAATGAGGATAAAATAGGTAATTTATATCCATTTAAAACACGTTTAATAAAGTAACTAATATTTTTTGATATCATCCATATTATGGACTAAAAGGAGTATAAAATTGTATCACTTACATAAGATATTTATATTTTAATAATAATGATATTAACTGTCCAAGTATAATTTTCAATCAGAAAAAGATACTTAAATAACCTAAATTTTTATTTGGGTAGTTAAATTTGTCAAATTTCTAATCAAGTTACATGAACTAAAAAAGGATTTTAAAATTTTGTGAAATGACTATGCTGCCATTTTCATTATAAGCCTAAAGAGGTGAGGATTTGCTGTCATTCTCATATTGCGTAAGATTTCTAAACAAAAAAAAACTTTGTGTCTGCTATTAGAAAGTTAAAAAAATCAACCATGGAGGTAATGATGAGTTAGTTTTTATATTAAATCTTTCTCTCTTAATCTTAATAGTTTCATCTTTATAGAAATGTGTTAATTTATAATTAAAATGTTTTAATTGCAAAATGAAACGTGTTAGTTTTAAAGTTATATTATGATAGAGTTTTTTTCAAAGACTATATCACACTTGTTAATGGAGACAAAAAAAAATTGTTAATTTAGAAATGAAATGTATTTAACTATAAAATAGAATATGTGAATTTCAAAGGTATACTGTGATCAAATTTTATTTAAAGACTTATTAAAAATGTGTTATAAAGATAAAAATAAATTGTGAATTTAGAGTTGAAACTTGTTAATTGTGAAATGAAACATATTAATTATCAAAATTGTATTATGATCAAGTTTTATTTAAAGACTTGTTGTAATTGTGTTTTTGAGATATAAAATTGTTAGTTTAGAACTGAAACTTATTAATTGTGTAATTGAAGTTATTTATTTTTAAGATTATATTGTGATTAACTTTTATTCACAGACTTACACAAATATATTATGGAGATAAAAAATACTAATTTATAATTGAAACTTGTTGACTACAAAATAAAACATATTAATTTAAAATTCTTTTCTTTTGGTTTCTAATGAAAAGGGTATTAAAATTATTTTATAAAATTTTAAAATCATGTTTTGGGTCATGTGATTTGATTAGAAATTTAACAAATTTAACTATCCAAATAAAAATTTGGGTTATTTAAGTGCTTTTTAAAAACATTTCTTCTTCCCAATATTATATATGAGCAATTATAATCAAATTTTACACATTTTTTAAACATAAAACTCGATGAAATGAAAAATAATTATTTTAAATATTTTATAGTAATTTGTGAAATTTAATATACAATTCAAGGCATCAAATACAGTATCATCTTTAATGCCTTAATATATGCAATAAATACAGCATTATGAATGCTTTCTCATTGAGCACTTCAGTGCCATTTTCCCTTCCCCTCCCCCCGCTTCCTTCACAAATGATGATGATGATGACGATGTGTCAAAAATTACAATATCTCAATTCAACGTACAAGAAGTCTAGATTCCAAAGAAGGAAGTAGTGTCTGATTTGATAATAAGAAAAAAATGACATAAAAAAAAGTCAAAAATTACAATATTTTAATTCAGGCACATGAAAGGTCTAGATTCCAAAAAAGAAAGTAGTACTTAATTTGATATTTTACAAATATAGTCAAATGACTAAAATGCCGTTAGATCAATTTTTAAAAAAAAAATATACCAAACCGGTCATTGTTAATACATTTTTTGTTATTTATTGTTTAACACTTGTCATTATCAGTTCATGTTACTCCTCCGATCCTAAATTTAAGACCCTTTTTGTAGTGTAGTGTAATTTACACTACAAAAGTAGTCTTATATTTAGGACTGGAGGGAGTAATAAATAACTTGTCATTTGCTATTTAACATTTGTACTTACCAGTTCACAATTTATTAATAAACTTTTGATACAAGAATATTTTTGTCATTTAACTACATTTATAAAATATCAGATCAAGCATCACTTTCTCTCTTGAGATTTTGACTTTTTTTTTTACCAACACTTAGGTACCTAAATTAGAATATTACAATTTTCAACTTTTTTTTATGTCATTTTTCCTAATAATAATAATAATAATAATAATAGCGGCTTCAATTTGTTTTTTTGGCCATTAATAGCGGCTTCAACTATTTTTAGCTGGTGGCTGTAGTCAACCGGGTCCCATAGATTCTTAAGATGACATCTGGAACTTGATTTTGAGATGTCATCATCTTTGTCATTTATCCAAGGAACAAAAAACCGGACCGGAAACTAAACCGGTCGAGACAGTGGGTCAAGGGTCACTGGTCGGACCGGAGGTCGGACCGGGGTCGAACCGGTCATATTAAAATAATACAATTTAATTCACAACATTAAAATAGAACATAATTTATAAATAATAATCACTCAAAATAGAGATAGAAAGTTACAAAAATAGTTTAAATATTTAATTGTACCAAAGAAATATTAATAAAATACACATCTTTATGATTATGTAAAATCACAATCATCATCAAGATTATTGGCAAGAGCATGAGACTTGATAATAACGTAACACTTCACTAATTGCAGATTTTGGTGGAGCAATTACCAATACACACGTCAATAAAAACCCCATAAATTTACAAGACTCTCCAAAATCACAAGAAAAATGCCTAATAAATTTGGAAACAAACAAAAGTACCTCAACACCATGCTTGATGGCGGATGGCCACACCAGCAAGAGTGTCCAATTTGGAAACTCGATGCTCTATATAATTGAGTCCACCACCTCCCACCCCTCCGTTCTGCAAACCATTCGATGGAGACATGAAATCCGATTGACCACCACCGACACCAAGATCTACGATCTCAGAAAGAAAAGTTCAGAGACACAAACACACATACATGTAAATAGTAACCAGCTACGGAAATGAAAGGGTAAGAAAGCTGGAGGGGAAAATTCTCCCAGTAGTGGAATTGAGCAGAGAAAATTTTGACTTGAGGAAAGGAAAAGGAGAGAAAAAGAGGAGGATGAAGTTGGCCGGAAAACTGGAACAATCACCCATGACCAGTGAAGGAAAAACAGAGCACATTTAAGTATCTAAGTCTAACTGAATGAAAATTACTAACAAGAAGCAAGAGCACAGAAGCGACCACCTGCGGCTGCGACGTGCAGATCTACTTGAACCACAATGACCTGCTGCTTCAATGTTCGACCTGGACGACCTGATGGGAAGATCTGGGACCTCTGATAGTGAAGAAAACTCCAACAAAATAAGGGTGGATTCAGCTAGCGATTTTCGATTTTGGTGAGGGAAGAAAAATGGCGAAAGGCGAAAGGCGAAAGGCAAAAACTCACTGAAGCTAGCCTTTGATTTCGACCTGCCTGCTTTGTTTTTTTTTTTTTTTCAAAGTTTCCCCTGTTTAACTACGTCATTTCCTAGGATTCAAGGTTGAAAAAAAAAAATAGTTCAAACCGGGAAAACCATCAGACTGCCAGTTTTCCCGGTTTTGACCGGTTTTAACAGGTTGAACCGGTCTAAAAAACGGTTCAATAGACCGGCGGTTTTTTCAGCAACCCAACCGGACCAGCCATCGTTTCACCGGTTTTCCGGTTGAACCGGCCGGTCCGGTCCGGTTTTTTTTTTTCCTTGCATTTATCAAGCTTTTGCTTGCCCTTTCATATAAAAAGAAATAATAATAGCGGTTTCTGACTTGATGACTAAATTCTAAACATATACTGTAGGATTTTCTCTTTTTTAAATATTGAAGGAATTAAAAACACTGGTCCTTGGATAAAATATTTTACAGCACCTTGAGTCCCTCCGAAAAACCTATTTAATTGATTTAATTAGATTAATAAAGTTAGGTAAGTTAGTTAATTATAAAAAATACTACCTCCAGTCTTAATTATAAGACCCAATTGACTAATTTGAGGAAATTAAGAAGAGAAGTTAAATTAGTTATTTGTAATAAATAGGTGTTGTTTTTCTTAAAATATCCTTACTAATCAACTATATTGGCTAGAATTATAATTATTAGAAGGACTCCTTAGGAAAAAAATGTATAAATATGAGAGACAAAGTAGATTGGGGTCTTATATTAAGAACCGGAGGTAGTATAACATCTTTTTTTCCAAAACGCTCTAATAATCTTTCTTAACATTCCCTCCCTCATTTATTTGATTATGGTTGAGAAAATATTCATAAAGATCATTTAGAAAAAAATAATAAATATGAGAAATATTTTATATTTAGAAAACGAAATAAATTTTTATATACAAAGTCACGTGAATCAAAAAGGTTATCTTTCTCTAAATTCTTTGAACATCAATTTGGGCTGTTGTGTGTGTGTGTGTGTTTTGTTTTTTAATGTTGTCCCTACGTGTTAAAGTAAGTCATATATGCACTGACTACGAGCCCTACCTGCAAAATTTATGCACAAGACTGAAGAATTCAGTTTGCTTTAACTTGGAAAAAAAGGGGGGGTTACCAAATTATTAAAATTTAACAAAAGAATTAATGATACTATAAAAATAATGTCACATATATGCTGATAATATTATAAATCAAGCTTAAACAAGATGATATCAGTTTGTTGATTAGGAGCATTCTTTACATATATATACTTTAGAGTATTTCCACCAACTTCATAAACATGGTTACTGATATTGTAACTTGCCAAAGGAAGCCATGTAAAATCTCAAGAACGATCCCATCTTTGATGACATCATAATATATAGTGTTGGGGCTGAAGTTGGACTGAGCCATCCCAAAGTGGGAGAATCTGACTAGTCCGGAAGATAGGATAGAAGACATATAAATAGGTTCAAAGATAACGAATTTATAAGTACTTTCACTTCAGTACATTTAGGGCCTATTTGGGTATTCCAAAACCGTGGTTTCAGAAGCACTTTTTCGTAAAACGAGATAATCTCCTCCACATATTTACTTCGTAATCCGTAAAAGCACTTCTGAAACCATGGTTTTGATTTCTATCCAAACACACCCTTAATTAAGTTCATTATCTGGTATGGGATTTTTCTTCTTGATAAAGTTAAGTCTTTTTATAGTTCACACTTTTTACTTGTGTATCTCCCACCCTAAATATAAAAACGAGATAAAGGATTTATTTTGATCCTAAATATTACCTCCGGTCTTTAATATAAAACTTGTTTGACTTTTATTTTGATTCTAAATATAGACCCAATCTATTTTGTTTCTCATATTTATACATTTTTTTTCTAAGGTAGTCCTTCTAACAATGATAATTCTAACCCAACACATTTAATTACAAGGATATTTTAGAAAAAACAACACTTATTTATTCACAATAACTAACCTAACTTCTTTCTTTAATTTCTTAATTAGTCAACTAACTCTTATAATTAAGACTGGAGGTAATATAAGATTTCAACCTTCATTTCCTCTCAAATTTATAATTTTTTTGACCAAAGTATCTATATTAATTGTATAGATTAAGGGGCTCTAATCCAGGAGTGGTTTTAGTACACATGATTAAATATGATAATTTAAATAAATCACAAAGCATTTATTATAAATAATTGACTTAATTAATTTTTTGAATGTCAACAAATTATTATCTAGTTTTTTATATTAAATACTAGATGTGGTACAGTGGGGGGCTTTTCCCTTCATACAAACTCGGGGAATTCATAAATTAGAAGATACTATAAGTAGGCTTGATACCAATTTTTAACGAGCTTTAAGTCAATGCGTTAATTTATGCGTCTTTTCATTCATAACCAGTGAATAAAAAACCGGTTCGGACCAACCGGTTTAACCGGTAAACTGGTGACCTGGTTAGTGGACCGTTTCGGTTTGAATACTAAACTGGGAGAGAGTTGAACCGGTAGAAAACTGGTCAAACCGGTGTGAACCAGTGAAAACCGGTAAAACTAGTGTGAACCGGTAATAAACCAGTTTGAATGATTAGGTTGTTATTAGTCCTATTTTTTTCTCATGCAGCTCCTAATATATTAGCCTTTATAGATTTGAATGAATTTTAATGATAATTTTGGTATCAATGATTATTAATTTTAATTAATAATGAACAATAAAGATCAAAATTCTCAATGTTATTATACTTTGTTATTATTACAATCAAATTATTGTCATATTTCTTATATGTTTTTGTTAGTAATTGTTAATGTTGTTAATTTTGTTATTTTTAATTAATTATATTATTTTAATATGACCGGTTGGACCCTAAGTTGACCCTGGTTCGACCAACTAACCCTTGAATCACTACTTCAATTGGTTTAGTGTCCAATCCAGTTTTTTGTTCCTTATTCATAACTGATTCTCTCTGTTTTTTTTTGGGCTGGCATAATTGAATCTATCCATTGTGAAACTTTTCAATAGAAAAAGTAACTAGTAATTAGTATATACTACTACCTCCGGTCCTATTTATAAAAATTAGTTGACTGATTTGAGGAGATTAAAAAAAGAAGTTAAGTTAATTATTTGTAATAAATAGGTATTGTCTTTTCTAAAATATCCTTACTAATCAAGTGTATTAGCTAGAACTGTTATTGTTATAAGGACTATCTTGAGGAAAAAAAACATAAATATGAGAGACAAAGTGGATTGAGATCTTATATTCATGATCAAAATAAAAGTCAAATAAGGTCTTATATTAAGAACCGATGTAGTATATATAATAGAAATTAAATTACATCAAAATTAAACGTCAACTCTCTGTTTTGGCCCAAAAAATTGTACACATAATCATATATTTCAATTCTATTGAATCTAGCAATCGCACATAGATGAAAGCATCCTTGTTAAATTGTTTAATTATCTTCACCTTCAAGCATCCATCATCGACTAAAATTTCTTAAATAGTACTCTTCTGGTCTTCAATATAAGATCCTTTTTGTAGTGTAATTTATATTACGATATGAGTCTTATATTTATGACCAGAAGAGTAGTTTATTTTCTCAAGATTTATTTTCTCAAGATCATCTAGTGTACCACTATTTGAAGCAGCCATTAATGTTGGAAATCTTGGGGATGGAAGAAGACGATGAGGATCAATTTAATAATGAAACATTGAGATTTGAATAAATATAGGGAGTTGGTCGGGAAATAACATGTATTATGTTTCTAACTAGTAATAATAACACGATGACGCATGTTGCTTGAACATTAATGAAATTTATGAATTATAATAATTTATTAATTTTTTTTTTGAAAATAATTAATGAATTAAGGACGTATTGAATACAAATGTAATACATGCACGAACTTGCTCTACAGGGGCAGCAATCACATTTTTAGATTTTAATTTCTTCATAGAAGGGTTATATTTTCAATTACCTTTATTTGTAAAGAGAATACATAAAAATAATAAGTGAAAATTTATTATAGAAAAATAATAAATAGCATATATTTAATAAGGATAAAAAAAAAGATTAGTTTAAAGTTTCAAACAAAAAAGAATTTGTTTTTTATATTTAGGATCACTAATATATATTATATTAGTCACAAATCATGGATAGTGTAGGATATTTTGGACACCATATGCATAACAGGTCTACATATTAATTGCTAATTTCACTTTTTTTTCATTCGGCTAAATATGCTTATCAAAGACAGGAAAAAAAAAAATCTCCATTACTCCTTTCAATTTGCGCCAAGCATGATTTATAGAGTACACCACAAAGTTTCATTCTCGTTCATAGTTTAATTTATTTTATTTCCAACCAAACAGATAAGCAACTTTGATGAAGGGATTAATTGATTAAACGATTCTAAAGAGAAGATAAATTATTGATTAATATCATTAATAAAAGGAAGCTAGGGTTCCTGAGGGGATGAATTAGCAAGGGCTAGCTGGGGGGCTCAGCGTCAACGTGAAGAATCAGGTGGTGGACATGGGACACAAGCTGTCTGCCAAACGACCTTCCCGAGGCTGTCTCCTAATTCAAATCAACCCTTCATCTTAGTCTTAATCTTAAAAAAAACAACTTGTCACCAACTTGCTCCCATTTCACGTGATAATTGAATTGAATTGGATCCTCATCAAGTTTCACTCAATTTTTTTGGTCATAATTCATATATTCATTAAACTCTGTAAAAAAAAATTGAACTTACAATCTCACGCTTAAGATATTTGATATAATTAAGCTACAAAACCCTCACAGTCAAGTTTGATCCATTTGTCCAAATCAACTTAACCACTCCCATCCTATTCTATTT